CAAAATAATAACTTTTCAAGTTCATGGAAAAAGAGCAAAATAACCCCCCCAAAAAAATTCAAACATTAAAAAAAATAATGTAGGTTTTTCTGCCAAATTATTCTAATTAGCTTGTTTTAGAAGTAAAATGTTTCTTCCAAAATGGTTTTAAACATAAAAATAATAAATTCAAGCCAATACTTTAAGAATGCCTACTACAAAAATTAGTCATCCTCTTTGAAATCCTTTTCATTGTTATTTCTTAAATAAAATGACTTTCTTGTTTAAAATAAAAGAGGCTGAGCATGGTGACTCATGCCTGTAATCCCAGCACTTTGGGAGGCCAAGGCAGTTGGATCACTTGAGGTCAGGAGTTCGAGATCAGCCTGGCACACATGGTAAAACCCCATCTCTACTAAAAATACACATGAACACACACAAAAAAAATTAGTCAGGTATGGTGGCACATGCTTTTAATCCCAGCTGCTTGGGAGGCTGAGGCAGGATAATTGCCTGAGCCCAGGAGACAAAGGTTGCGATGAGCTGATTGCTCTCCAATCTGGCCCACAGAGTAAGACTCGGTCTCAAAAAAAAGAAAAACAAAGAAAATATACTACTAAAGTATTAAGTATGTATTAAATTTATACTTTTTAAATGAAAACTTTTTATGTTTATGAAACACAAAAACTCCCATAGATGAGGCCAAATTTCTGTGCACTATACAATAAAACATGACATTAATAGGAAACCAGTCACTTAGAGTTATTAAAAAGGCACTATACTAAAGATCATGCTAATTAATAAATCCTATACACTTACAGAGAAAACCATATATAAGTACAGACTGAAAAATAATGAAACAAAAACACTAATGCCAAAATTGTAAAATAAAGCAAAAGACCAGCTGCAAATTCAGACTCAGAATAATTTCAAAATAAATACAAGTAAATACAAAACAAGTAATCAACTTAAGAAATCAGGAAGTATAAAAGCAGATAAAAATCTGAATTTAGAATTAGAAAGAAAAACAAAAAAAGTAGAAAATTCAGTGAAATGAAAACAGAAAAGGTAAATTCGTAAGTATAACATCAGTTACTTGGAAAAAAAAATTTTAAACAGCTCTGACAACTAATGGAAAAAAGAAAAAATAAGGGACTTTAACAATTTTTAAAAATGATAATGTTTTTCCATATTATATATATGCACATATATATAGTAGTCATTTTGAACATCTCAATGAACTACACAAATAGTGTAAGTTATGATAAAATTTCCTATAATAATTCAAGAAATAAAAAACAAATTAATAATTGAAATCAAACCAAAGATTTCCATGAAAATGTAATCAAATTAACTCTTAAAAAGATACCAGAAAAGTTCACACATTAAAACATTCAAGGAACAGTTCACCTGGTGTAGTAATATTTCCTTATCGAAATATTTACTGAATTCCTCTTACTTGGCCTTGAATTATACACTAAATTCAAAAAAGCAAGCAAGTAAAAAAAACAAAATAAAATAACCCCTGCCTTCATGGCTCGTGTAATCCAGTTCTAAAATATAGATTAGTAGAAGTGTATACCCGGATTGTGGCTAGAGAAGATTCTGGAAAAGTCATTTCTTACTAGATCTTGTAATCATTCAATTAAAATATTTCCAATATTAAATCATCCTTGCATTCCTGGGTTAATGTTTATCCTTTTTCTTCCTTAAACAAAACTAACACCTTCAGATGAAAAAGAGCAGTACTGATCTAAAATAACAAGTAGGACCAGGCACAGTGGCTCATGCCAATATCCCAGCATTTTGGGAGGCCAAGACAAGAGAATTGCCTGAGTCTAGGAGTTCAGGACCAGCCTGAGCAACATAGTGAGGCCTCACCTTTCAAAAAAATATAAATAAATAAATAAACAAACAAACAAACAAGCTGGGCATGGTGGAGCAACTGTAGTCCCAGCTACTCAGGAGGTTGAGGTGGAAGGATTGCTTGAGCCCAGGAGGTCAAGGCTTCAGTGAGCCATGATAGCCATCGCTGCACTCCAGCCTGGGTGACAAAACAAGACCCTGTCTCAAAAAAATAAAATAGCATGTAGTTACAAATACTAATAAAAGTTTTAATAGTTAGCTATTTATTTATGACTTTGATAAGTCATACACTATCATTACAAACACAATTTCAAATATATAAGGTTTGGATTGTAACTGCCTAGCATTATATGCTAGAGAGATACCGAATGTTTAGACATAAGGATAGAAGGAAGTTAGGGATGTTAGGGACAATAAACAGAGTGAAAAACAATCTGTAGAATGGGAGAGAATATTTGCAAACCATACATCTGATAAGACACTAAGTAGTTAGGATCCAGAATATGTAATGAACTATTAATACAACTCAACAGCAAAAAAAAAAAAAAAAAAAGAAATAATTTTTTAAATGGGCAAAGAATTTGAAAAGACATTTCTCTGAAGAAGATATATAAATGGCCAAACATATGCAAAGATGCTCAACATTATTAGTCACCAGGGAAATGCAAATCAAAACCACAATCAGATACCACCTGACAACCACTAAGATTATCACTATTAAACACACACTCAAAGAAAAGTGTTGATGAAGATGTGGAGAAATTGTTCAGTGGTAGTGGGAATGTAAAATGATATAGCCACTATGAAAAATAGTATGAAGTTCCATCAAAAACAAATATAGAGTCACCATATGATACAGCAATCCCACTTCTGGCTACATAACCAAAATAATTGAAAGGAGAATCCTGAAGAGATACGTGCTCACCTGTGTTCACTGTATTATTCATAACAGCCAAGAAGTAAAAGACCTAAATATTCAGTGATGAATTAATGGATAAAGAAATTGTGGTATATACATACAGTGAAATATTATTCTATCTTAAAAAAGGAAACCCTGTCATATGCTAAAACATGGATGAACCTTGAGGACATTATGCTGAGTGAAATAAAAAGATAACTCATGATTTTACTTAATGAGGTAGATAAAGTAGTCAAACTCTTAGAAAGTAAAATGGAGGTTGCCAGAGAATAGAACAAAATGAAGACTTGCTCTTCAGTGGACACAGAGTTTCAGTTTTGCAACATATAAAAAGCTCTAGAGATCTACTACACAACAAGGTGCATATTGCGCTATACACTTAAAAACGGTTGTGATAGTAAATTTCATGTTATGTGTTTCTTACCAAAATATAAACAAAAAATGTAAACGTGACATAAAATTTGAAAAGATTCAAATGTATTTTATATCATCTTATGCTATTGTTCATGTCTATTATACCTCATCTAAACGTAAAAAGTTGTATGTTTGGTATAATAGCTGTTTACAAAGTTTTAGAACTCATGTATAGATTATTGCTTTCATATGACTAGTGATCCAAGTTTTAAATCTTCTTACCTCATATGTTATCTTCAAACTTGACTGTAGTAAAATAGGAGTAAAGTTGGGATGAACTTCTGCAGTGAGCCAAAGACGAAAGGTATCTTTAGGTTGAAGAGTATTCAATTCCTTGTTTACAAAACCAATGATAAAAATTTACATTAATGCATACAAAAATTTCCCTTGTACCAGTACATTATTAACTATTTTTTAATCAAAACTTTTGTGACATTCTGATCTATTTCTTAATATTCTGGTTATATTTAATTTTTATCTTTTCTATTACTAGCTCAGTGTAATGAATAAGAATCTGCATCTAAAGTCATGTTGACTGGAGTGAAATTTGAACTTTGCCACTAATCTGCTATGTGACCTTGGGCTCTTTGACTTATTTCATCTCTAAAAAAGGATAATAATAGTACCTATAGCATAGAATTGTATAAGACACTAAAACAATGCCTGATACATAACAAGTTCAAAGTAAGTGTTAGCTATAATTGCTATGCCCAAACTACAAGCCTTCTTAAGGTCTTTAGATTCTCACTGCTTTAATTCATGCTTCTACAGAGTTATATAATGATATTAATTCCCTTATATACAATTTTTAGAAGCACCTTATTGCCTATAATATAAATTCAAAACTTTACCATACAAATTCATCTGTCCATGCTCCTCAAACTGTGGACTTTAGTCATTTATTCAGATTCTTATTACTGTCTTTACTCATCGTATTTCCTCTGCCTATTATTCTCCTTGTAATCTGACAAATTATTACATATCTGTCAAAATACAATTTAAATATCATGTCTTTGGGGAATATCTTCTCCAACTCTTCACTACCACAATCCCAAGCAGATTTAATCACCCAGGTCGTCTTGTAAATTCTTCCCATAGTATTCCTCATCCCACAATATAGTTCTATGTTAATGTGATCTGTCTCTCCTAAACTAAGTTTCCAGAGAAAAGGTACAAATTCTGGAGGTAACCAGCACCTGGCACAATTTCTGGGTTTTTCTTGTACTCAGCAAGTATCTGTACATTTAATAAATGAATGAATAAATTACACAAGAAATTTTTGTAGCTCTAAGAGAATGAAGTCTAAAAATTATTTTAATATAAGTGATGTCTAACACTAACATTAATATCATGTAAACTGTAGTTAAGATGACCAAAAAAATGGCAAAAGAATGGCCACAAAAACATTGTGCTTGTTTAAAATTATAAAGGATAAAACATATTTATACCTCATCATTTTAAAATGTAAACTGTATATAAAACTTTGCTTTGGGTTGGCATATCTAAAAAAAATTTAAAAGGCAAAAGAAACAATACATTGTGATATAGTTGGATTTATAGCTGGATATGGTTGAATTTACAAGTTTATAAATTTATATCCTATCAATTCATCCAAACTAGTAGAAAAGCAAATAATCAGTTATTTTTAAAATTCCATATTATGTACTGTTTCAAAATGTTCTAGTTAAGATGTGCTTTCAAGATAATAACTGTAATTATATTTTACATGGATTAATAGCTATCAATCAGCTGTTTAAAACAGAAAGCAGTATTCAAGTATTCATCAGTCTTCTTTATATATCTTAAAACATATATAGATGTATCAGGCCAGGTGTGGTGGCTCACTCCTGTAATCCCAGCATGTCAGGAGGCCAAGGCAGGCAGATCACTTGAGGCCAGGAGTTCAAGACCAGCCTGAAAAACATGGCAAAACCCTGTCTCTACTAAAAATACAAAAATTAGCCAGGCACAGTGGTACATGCCTGTAATCGCAGCTACCTCGGAGGCTGAGGCATGAGAATTGCTTGAACTTGGGTGGTGGAGATTGCAGTGAGCCGAAATTGCACCACTGCACTCCAGCCTGGGCAACAGAGCAAGATTCTGTCTCAAAAAAAAACAAAACAAAATGTATATGATTTATCAGATGTAAATTTTATAGTTTTACACATTAGTGATTTTTAAAGAAAGCCATAATACTAGAATCACATGAATATTCGCAGTCCAAAATCTGTATCTTCTCTTGATTACAAGTAATGAATCATGAATCATCATGGTCTAGCAATTCATTCACTCACTCATTAACTTATTTATCAAAGATTTATTGATTCTCTATTTGTGGAAGTGTGTAGTTGCCAATTAATTAGGACTACAGAAATTTTTAATACCTCACAACTAGGGTAGGACTTCCCCCAATTTGTTCTGTTTGGTTACATTCTTTATACTACTGCCAGAATAATTAATTGCTAACTCTCTGTTAAGGACCTCCTTTGGCTCTCTAAGTCCCAGGACAAAAACTGCAAAATCTTCTGCATAGTTCTCAGGGTATGCCATAGCCTAGCTCTTTCCTAGTTGTCCAACTCAATTGCCCCACGCTTCCCTGCCTGGCCTCTCTAGTACTGTCAAGGACATCTTTTCATTCCTTGTGCTAGGGATGCACATCCCCAATTCTATCTCTACTTGTGCTGATGGAATTAAAATCATGGTATCCTTTCTTTGCATATACTCAGCAAAATGCCATTTGGCTTTCAAGAAATATCTCTTTGGAATCATCTCTAACTACCCAAAACCCTATTCATCTTTCTTAAATAAGCAACAGAATAAAATCTAGGTTTGCATGAAAAGTCTATCTAGCTATTTGTCCATCTTAAGATTATTTTTATCCTGAGTTCATTGAGGGAAATGAAACGTTTGCTTCAGTTTACTCTCTAGCTTTCTTAGCACCTAGAAAGTTAGGCAGTCCCCTCTCACCCCCTACTATGTCTCTTCTCCCAGTACAGATCAACAGAACAAGAGCATAAAATGAAACTAATGGTATCAATATGTCATCTAAGCTTCCCTGTCAATCTTCATTAAAAATTTCTTGGCTTCTCTTATATGCCTTTAAAAAAGCATTTTTAAATACTTCCTATTAATATCCTATTTTGCACAGTTGCACATGATATGAACTAACCTGACTCCATCTTAGAAATAAGCCTGACAAGCTGCAGCTTATTTTCTCCCTCGCTGCCACAGCCCCCACAGGTGCATTACTGAGTCACGCTGTACTTACAGCCTTGAACCATTGAGGTTTGGGTCACGCTGTTCTCAGTACCTGTAACCTATGTAACCGCATCCTGCTTGGCAAGTCTACCTGCTACTGTGAAACACCCCTCTTGGTGATTGATTGTATGGAAAGTCCCCCCTGCTACCCACCTTGATGATTGTATGGAAATACTCTTAGCAACCAGCAACTATGGGAACCTCCTGCCTCCTGGTTACCAGCTTCCTCCTACTAACTTGTTTGTTCTACTTCGGTAAAATTCTGCTTCAGCTAGGCTTCCTCTCCCCAGTCCCAAGCTAGGTATAAAAAGAAATCAAGCCTTTTCCTCGGGACCAGGAGATTTTGAGCGTGAGCTGCCTCTCGGTCACTGGCAATAAAGGACTCACAATTGGAACTCAGAGTGTGGTGCTTTCCTTCTAACTTGCTCGAGTGTAACACACATATTTAAGAAAATATTTAAATTTAAAATTTCTCAAATATTATTTTTTAAATCATCATAAATAATGTATGACATTTTAATATGGATAACCCTTGGAGATTACTAAGTTGAGTATATTAGATATTATTTGTACCACATTGATCTGAATCTACCTTTTCCAGAACTGGCAGCCAAGATACCACAAGATGTAAGTTCTTCAAACAGAGCCAGTCTCCATTGCTGGCACATTCTTTTAGCATTTGAATTGCTAAATCAGCTTGACCCTGACCCATGGCAACCTGCAAAAGCAAAAAAATAAACAAAATTTAAAAAACAGATCTGCTAGCATGTTGTAATGTAACAATAATAGAGTTAATAATAGTAATCCCTAAACCTTTCTAACTGGCTTTAATATTAAATTTGGAAGAAGAATCAAACTAATGCCAGAAATTAATCTTCTTTAAATAATTAAAAGCTTATGTAAATAGTTTAAGCTTCTTGCCAAAAATCACTAGTAACAGGTACAATCTATAGAAAGGGCTTTCATTCCTAGACACCTCACTGATAACTGAATACTGACCTAATGTATATTCCAATCTACTGTAACTATGATTGACTAGAACTCTCTAGACTTAGTGTAAAACCTGCACAACTGAGCCTAATAGCTCTACTACTTTGCTCTTTCATTTATATTGCTATTTGTAAAATTTTTACTTTTCAATTATTGGCTGCTATTAGTTGCTTAAAAAATCATTATTAATTATTTTCCCTGTGAAAAAGATGTATTCACTTGTCAAAAATTGAGGGTAAATTAATATACTTCATTTTCAAATTTACATGCAAATTTAAAAAATGAAAGTACTCTGAACAAACAAAAGTTCCTACCTCAGGGAAAAAAAAATGGCATTACAATGAAAACATTTTACTCAAAATATTTACGAATTTCTTCCACTTCAGGTAAATAAAGTGTAAATAAACACTGCTGTGATTTACCATAAAAGCATCCAAGTAAAAGTTTAAAAGTATTCTCAAGATGAAAGCCAATGTATTAGTTTCCTATAGCTGCTTGAAGAAATTACCACAGATTTAGCACCTTAAATTATCATTAAACATTTGGAGTCTCGAAGTCTCACTGGTCTAAAAATCAAGGTGTCTGGGTTTCAAAATAAAAGGACGACTATCGGCTTTCTAAAGGCTCTAAAAAATAATTCTTCCCTTGTTTTTTCCCGTTTCTGGAAGCCACTTACATTTCTTTGCTTACGGCTCCTTCCTCCATCTTCAAAGCCAGTAGCACAGCATTTTCTCTCTTCTCTGACCTCTACTTACAACCTCACATCTCCTATCTTCACTCTTGACTCACCTGCCCCCTCCTATAAAAACCTTTGTGATTTTTATATTGGGCTCACCTGGCTAATCCAGGCTAATCTTCCCATCTGAAGATACTTAATTACATCTGCAAAGTTCCTTTTGCTATATAAAACAACATATCCATAGTTCTGAGGATTAGGACACAGACATCTTTAGGGGCATTATTTATCTTATCACAACAAAAAATGTCCATCTGACCAATATGATTAAGTGTGGCAGGAACAGCAATAGCAAAAAAAAAAAAAGCAGCAGGACAATATGTATTTACCTGGTGATAACACTCTCCACTTCTTTCAGCATTAGCAAGTTCTTGAAGTTCCTGAGAAGGATCAGCACCCGGAGAAATAATTATCAAGATGGGTTCAATTTCCAGTGTCTCTTTGTATAAACGTTTGAGATTTAGAGGCAATGGGGACACCTCTTTCAGTCCTAAAAGACATATTTTAAAAATTAAAAATGAAAAGCAGTATGCATTATTAAAAAGTCTATTAAAAGTAATTATATAACATATAATAGAGAATACCCAGGTGAGTTATAATCTCATATTAAAGTTTTTCCACTCTAAAATCATGTCCTAGTAATAGCCAACATTTGTTTTATGCTTAAGGTGCCAGGCATTTTTCTAAATGTTTTCCATGTATGATATCTTCTTACTAGTACAATGCTATGAGATAGGTACCCTGATTACTGTATTTAAAATCTGTATTGTAAATTAAGGCAACAATACAGGCCTGTAGCTGTATTGTAAATTGAGACTGCAACACCAGAGAAGACTGAATCCAACCATCAATCTATACATCCCATTAGTAAAACACAATTCATTAACTGATATGATAGCTGAGTGCATACTGTGTCATGAATATGGGGAATCAGAGTCATCATGATCTGGGTAAATTATCTCACTGGCATCATATGGGCCAAAAGTTATTTCTTATGCCCATGTGATATGGGGAAAAAAGTTGTATGGAGAGTAAAAAGAATGCTTAATTTTAAGACAAAAATACATAGCTGACAGTTTATATTTGTTAGCTAAATGACCATATCCAAATCATTAAAATTAACTGTGCCTCAGTTTCCTCAATTGCAAAACAAGGATAAAGTAATCCACAGGTTCTTTGGAAGCAAAATTAGAATAATTATAACAAATTCCATTTATTCATCACCTACTATACACTAAGCATTATACTGGGTACTTTATTTAAATGGTATCTAAGCCATATAATGATCCTGAGAAACAAATATCACTATATTCATTTTATAAGAAAACTAATACTCAAATAAATTTATTATCTTGCCAAACTGCACACAGCTGCCACCATTAATATTTAAACAGTTCACCTGTGCTTTTTCTACTCTGTAGCCCTTCACAAATTATAAAGTCCTGTTCAGATAAGAGATTATAATTTTGCTATTATATTTAAATCTCTCTTGCTAAAACTTGAATGTTTCCATTATTAATGTATTTCATAAGAGCCAAGCTGAAAAGGCTCATGTCAATTAAAACTTAGACTGGTTTGATTTGAGCTAAAACAAGTGTTCCACAGGAGTTTAAAAATAAAGAAAAAATCAGGAGAATGTAACTGAATGAGTACACAGGCAAGAAGGGCTTCCAGAAATTCTCAAAAGTAGAAGTGAATAGACAAGACTACACCTCAGGTTTGAACATTCTTAAAGAATTAAGAATAGTAAACACTTTAAAATACAAATTCATTGTTAACATGATGGGTCAAAAAAGACATTTCTAGACAACCAACCTGAAAAGGTACATTTCATGCCTAAAGCAGCACCCTTGTCTATTCCTCACAAAAGCAACCCATATTATAAGAATTTCCAAAGGCAAAAATATTCCTGATAATAGGTGATATTAGGAATATTTCTAACAACAGCCACTTAAAACCGATGAATTGCTTTTAGAGGCATATTTTATGAATTTTATTTTTTGCTAAATTTAAATTGCTAACAATTGAATAGAATGTAACTGAATGAATATTGGCTTACAACAACTGAATAGTTGTTAACAATTTAAATTTAGCTTTTAAAGAATTCTTATGTACTTGCAATGCAGTAAGAAATATTTTCATTCATTCAAGCATTCATTTACTTATTCATAAACTCAATAAACATCTAAGCCAATTAAATATCTTGTCTGATTTAATAAAGTATATCATCTTAAAAATGTACATGGCCTTGATCAGTAATTAAAATTATAATAATTTAAGAAACAATTCAGGATATGGACACAGAAGCATGTACAAGGGCTTTTCCTTGTAGCTGTTGATATTATCTAAAAACTGGTAGAAAGAAACTGAGTTTCTAACAGGAGTCTGAGTAATTTTTGATAGCCATACATTGAAACTGAAGTTACAAACATGTTGAGGTGAAAGATAATTTACAGAAAAGTGAGATTTTTCAAGAGAATTGGTAATAATTCCATATTATAATGTATACATTTCCATGGCATAAAAAGAAAACAAAGGCATACATAGAAATGTTAACAATGATTAGTGCTAATGATGGAATACCAGGTGTTTCTTATTTTCTTTTCCTGTCTATGCATCTCCTCATACTCCTCTAATTACTATGTATTATACAATTAAAATGTCAAATATATATAATATTTTAATATAAAATAACTACTGATTTAAGTGTGTTTTATTTGGAAAATATATGCCAATACAAAAACGGTCTAAAAAAGCTAAAATACAGATTACCATACCACTTGTTTATTTAGCCAATATACACTGTAAACTTCATGAGGGCAGGAAGCATACTGAATCTTTTGCTAGTTTATATCCAGAGCCTAGCAAATTCAATTATAACTTTTATTTTAAAATCCCACAGGATACAAATATATATCCATTAATTCATTTTATTCAATATCTCAAAGCAGTAAAACATTTGATTGGAGAAAAAAATCATGAAAAATATCTTGCCATTTAATATAACACAAGTGACATTTATATTACTTGTAATTATATGTTAGCCCTCCTGCCCACAAAACTCCAGCAAAGTTTTTGTTGCACTTTAAGTGAACTGGATATATAGGTTTTATTAATCCAAATAATTCTGACTCATGATATCATGAGAATGGTTAATATGAATCATTCAAAACTATTTAATAGAGAGGCAAAAATAATAATTGCACTGTGAATTATAATTGTGTAAAACTACTTGCAAATCACTGGAACCTTATACTCTAACCATAATTTTAAAAGTTAATACAGCATTTATTTCAAAAATAAGTCAAAGGGTAACTCAAACCTTTATTGTATTTTATTTTAAGCAAATAAAATACTGAGATAATAAAAAAATAACTTGCAGCTTAAAAAGGAAAAAATGTACTCCTGTACTTTTCAGGTACCTGAGTAAAGAAAGTAGGAAATTATCAAACTATTATAGGTAGTAAGTATAATAGATTCATTCTTTCTCATGTGTCTCATCCTCCATAACAAAGGGCTGAAAAGTATCAGACGTATAAAATTACCTTTCTTTTATGAGAAAAAAACCATTGTAAAAATGTACCACAAACATCAATAAGAGGAAAATCAACAGCCACTACCTAACCCAATATATGTGAACCAATGAAATGAGAAAATATGCTTTCAAAATGGAATAGTACTCAACCCTAGAAACAGGTAAAAATGTCAAATATGTTGTGGTAGGCAGAATACTAAAGATTTAGATATCTCTTTCAAGAATCCTAAGCCCTGGTTATTCAAACAAAAACTAAACTAGGTACTGCTGTGAAGGGACTTTGTAAATGTAACTAAGGTTGTGAACCTAAATGTAAGAAAATTATCCTGTGTTATCCAAGTGGGCCAATCTAATCAATTGACCCCTCAAAAGTAGAGCTGTTTCTCTAGTTAGAGGCAAAGAATTGTAGCAGAAAAGAGAAATAGGAAAGATGAGGCAGAACGGGAGGTCAGAGATGAGGCATGCAAAGGAATCAATGCTGTCTTTAAAGATGGAGGAAGGGAACTAGATACCAACTGGGCATCTAAAAGCTGAGAATTACACCAAAAGACAGAAAGAAAATGGGGACCTCAGCCTTACAACTGAATAGGGCTGAACCTGAATGAGTTTGGAAGTGGATTTTCCCCAGGGCCTTCCAAACTTGGAGCAAAGAAACCTGGTGAGCCCATCAGGATTCTGACCTGCAGAAGACAGTAACTGGGCGTTGTTTAAACCTGATAAATTTCTAGCAGCAATAGAAAATCAATGCACATATGCTTATGTCTTTCTTTCTTTTAGACATTGACTTGATAAGGCAGATTGAGCTATGAAAGCAAGTACGTGGGATGACATGATGCCATAAGAGAGGTACAGAATTGTAAAACTAGGAAAAATCCATAGTTCAAAAAAAAGGTACTTTTTGATGAAGAACCTTTAAAAGTTTAGGGGCATGTCTCTACATTTCCAGTACCTCAATACATAAATCATAACATACTCCTCATAATAGTTTTTTTAAGTCAAAATTACATCAGAACTATGGAAGTAAGAATACTTGCATCTGTTCACTACCATTTTTAAAAAGAAACATAGTAGATTTTGCCAGTACATAAGTCTTCGTTTGTAGATTCATATTAAACAGGCAGCCCTAAAAGCTTTAAAGATTGCTATACTAATTCAAATCTTCAAATCAAAGCTACTTTCATAAATACATCTTTATAATTTACTATTTTAAGGTTTATAGATTATAAAAACAGCTGCTAAAACGTAGTAAAGATCGTTCCATATGAATGATGCTTGAGAAATTACATTTAAAATCAAAGCTCTAAAATTTGATTTAAAAGAGGTTAAGTGCTTGTTCTCCAGTAATTTGAATTTTAAAAACTTATTAATAAAATAAAAACTCTATTGTTACATTAAAATAATTTAATAAAGCTACTTGACCAAATATGAAGTCATCCAGCCATACAATTGTAAACATAATTTTTGCTTAGAAATCATATGATTTTAGAAGTGTATTAAACTTTCTTTTTTTTTTCCCATTTATTTATTTTATTGCATTTTAGGTTTTGGTGTATTAAACTTTCAAAGCATCTGAATATATAAATAACATGAGGCTTTTAATTAATGCCACTAAACCTTAAATGTCATTTGACCTGGAGATGAAATGGTAGCATAAGTATTTCAAATAGTTGATAAATAGTCAAACTATAAAATTAGTAAGAAAGGTCATGTGCAATGTGGCACAAAGACCATATTATTAAAGACTAAATGAGTAGGAAAAAAATTCTTAAGAACCTCTCTGAAAAGTGTCCTGTTTTATTTTAACATGCATTTGAGCAATAGGAACAGCAAGTGCAAAGGTTCTATATTCCAGAAATAATTAGAGCAGTAAAAAACAAACAAACGAGAAAAAGACCATTATGTTGGTAAAGAACTGAGAGGGGTTAGGAGATAAGATCTCAGGGTAAGTCCCTGTAGGATATTAGAAGGATTCTGAAGAAGATGAGATGTCATATTCCATCAGAAGTGTTGGAGGAAAGGAGTGATCTGATCTAGTTTGTATTTCAAAAGCACTTAGCTGCTATGTTAAGGATAGACTTAGAGTGGGGAAGAATAGAAGCCTGAATGTTAATAATCTCACTCATATAAAATTGGCTTTAAAAAACTGGTAGACACTCCAAAAGGTCTGAGAAGTGATTGGATTCTGAATATATTCTGAATATAGAGACAACAAATAAAAGGTATGGCAGTAATTGAGAGCGGATGATAGCTTGTATTAGGTTGGTACTAATAAAGCAAATAAAATGAATTCAGAGTAAGTTTTAAGGTTGAAACCAAAAGAATTTGATGGTAGATTGGATATAGAAAGAAAGGAAAGAGAGGAAAGAATTACATCACCTGCATAATGACTTTTCAATCAATGGTGGACCATGTATATCATGTTCATACTATAAGATTATTTTTACTGTCCCTTTCTATGTTTAGAGACACAAATACCTACCACCATATTACAATTGCCTATAGCACTCAGTACAGTAATATGCTGCACAAGTTCGTAGCCTAAGAGCAATAGGGTATACTATATAACCTATAGTATACGAGGGTGTACAATCCCAAGGTATATGTAAGTACACTCTATGATGTTCACACAATGAAATTGCCATAATGACACATTGTCAGAATGCATTCCCACTGTTAAACAACACATAACTACATTTTTGGGTTTTGGGATTAAACAACTGAGTAGATGCTAGTATAAACAAATCAAAAGTAATGTATTTGTCACATTAAATTTGAGATATTTGTTTTTGATGTTTTTAATACAAAAAAATCAAATAAGTATAAAATACATAAGCCTAGAATTCCAGGGCTGGAAATAACAGATATAAGAGTGGGTAATTTAAGGATGATATTTAAAGCCAGAGATTGGGTGAGATCACCCACAGGGAGAATGTATAATAATGAAAGAAGGAAACCAGAGCAAGACTATAGTAAAAAGAAAAGTACTCCAACCCTTAGAAGACATGCAGACAAGAAGCCAGTAAAAGAAAGTAAAAAGGAACAGACTAAAAGGGTTGGGAAATGAAAAAAGAAACATAACATCAAGAGAAGAAAGTCTTCTATAAAGAAAGAAATGGACAACTTTATTGAGTTTAGAAAGAAGTGAAAAATAGGATAGTGGCTAGAGAAGGGTCTGAGACCAAGGGAGGTATTTTTAAGACAGATGATACTAAAATATATTTGTATGCTGAAAAAAGTGATTCAGCAAAGAAGGTGAAATTCATGATATAGGAGAAGATGATAATGGCAGAAATGAAGAAGAAAACAGTAAATGAGTTGACCTTTGATTAGAACAAAGACATTCATTTATAGTAAAACAAACAACAGAATGAGTATGAGTACTAATGCACATAGTTGGTAGATGTGTTTATAAGAAATGACGAATTTCTGTCTTAGTGCTTCTATTTTCTCAAAAATGCTAGTAAAAGGCTACTACAATCAACAAATTTTAGTGGTAAATATACGGATAACTGTTTTCCATATTCTTAGATGTCTACTATACAGTCATTACTCACCATATATATCCAAATTTGGGAACATGTTAATTGTTCCAGTAACAAAATATATTCAAAATCATTTCCAAGCATGGAAATGAGTATCTTTTTTTCCAACCACTTCAGTCTTTAGATTCAACAGTCAAGAAGGAGACAGGGCAAGATGGCCAAATAGAATCCTCCAGCAATTGTCCTCTGCAGGAACACCAATTTGAACAACTATCCACTCAATAAAACACCTTTATCAGAACCAAAAAATCTAGTGAGCAATCCCAGCAGCTGGTTTTAATAGAATCACAAAGAAAGAGGCATTGAAGAGAGTAAGAAGACCAGTCTTAGATTGCCTACACCTCCCCTTCCCCAGACATAGGCAGCACAGCACAGAAAGAATCTGTGTGCATAGGGGGACGAAAGTGAAGTGAGTGTGACTTTGCATTGGAACTCAGTGTGGCCTGGTCACTGAGTGGAGCACAACACCAAGCAGAATTCTACCAGTGCCTATGGAAGGGGCACATAAAGCAGCCCTGAGACAGAGGGAAGTCCTCTGCTCCAGCAGGAGGAAACCAAGTCCTAGTCATCTTCACCACCAGCTAACTAAAATGGCCTGAGGCCCCAAATAAATTTGAGTGGCAGTCAGGACACAGTGACTGCAGTCCTTGGGCAAGCCCCAGTGCTATTCTGGTGTCCCTAATAGTGGGTTTGGGGTGACCCAGTGTAACACCAACTGCAGCCCACAAGAGAACCTGCATCACCCTCCCTCAACTCCAGGCAATGCAGCACACGGATAGATTCCTTTTCCTTGGGGGAAGGCAAGAGAAGAGTGCAGAAGACTATGTCTTCCAACTTGGACACAAGCCAAGTCATAGTAAAATAAAGCACAAGGAAGATTCCTGAAGTCTATGATTCCAGGCCTTTGCTCCTTGGTTGATGTTTCAAGATCCATTCTCAGCCAGCAGGGAATCCACTGGCTGACAACCTGCTGACTAAAGAGATCTCGGGCCTTTAATGAACATCAGCAACCACCAAGCAGTAGTGGTCACAGGCCTTGGGCAAGCCCCAGTACTGTGCTGATCTGGAAGGCTGGAGGCTTCATGTATGACTCAGCATGGTGCCAGCTGTGGTGGTCAAGGCAGTGCCCATATCACCTCTCCCCAAATTCTAGGCAACTCAGCATGGAGACAGGATCCTTTCGCTTGAGGGAAAGAGAGGAAAGAGAGCAAAAGATTTTGTCTAGGAACCCAGGGAATTCTCCCTTATCTTCCTCAAGTCCACCAAGGCTGTGTTTCTAGGAGTCTGCAAGAGTCATAGAGTTCTTGGGCTTAGGGTACCCACTAGTGCTGAAACAGCTGCAGTGAAAACAGGCTTAAGTAACAACATTCAGTCTCCTTTGAATTCCGAGAAAACCCTCTCAAGAAGAATAAGTGAAAAGAAGTCCAGACTCTGAAGGCTGGAATAAATACTTAACTCTTCAATGTCCAGACAATGATGAAGGTCCACAAGCATCAGAAACCTCCAGGAAAACATGACCTTAGCAAATGAACTAAATAAGGTATGAGTGACCAATCTTGAAGTAACAAAGATATGTAACCTCTCAGACAAGAAATTCAAAATAGCTGCCTTGAGGAAACTCAACAAACTTCAAGATAACACAGAGAATTAATCAGAATTATACCAGAGAAAAAAAAATTTTTTGAGGCAGTCTCACTGGCCCATGCTGGAGGGCACTGGTGTGATCTTGGCTCACTGCAACCTCCATCTCTCCCAGATTCAAGCAATTATCTTGCCTTAGCTTCCCTAGTAGCTTGGATTACAGGTGCCTGCCACCATGCCCAGCTAATTTTTGTATTTTTAGTAGAGACGGGTTTCACCATGTTGGCCAGGCTGTTGTTGAATTCCTAACCTCAGGTGATCCACCTTGGCCTCCCAAAGTGCTGGGATTACAGGTGTGAGCCATCGCACCCAGCCTATATCAGAGAAATTTTACAAAGAGATTCAAATAATTTTTTTAAAACAATCAATTCCTAGAGCTGAAAAATACAATTGACAAACTGAAAAATGCATCAGTGTCTCAATAGCAGAATTTATCAAGCAGAAGAATAAATTAGTGAGTTTGAAAACATGAAAATACACAGAGGAGAAAAAAAACAAGAATAAAAAGGATGAAGTATGCCTAAAAATCTTAAAAAAAAAACTTCAAAAGGGCAAATCTACAAGTTATTGGCCTTGAAGAGATGTAAAGAAAAAGATCAGGATATAAAGTTTATTCAAAGAAATAATAACAGAAAACTTTCCTAGCATAGAGAAAGATAAGAATATCCAGGTACAAGACAGTCAAAACCAGCAACAAATTCAATCTAAAGAGACTACTTCAAGGCATATAATAATCACTCTTAAAGGCCAGGGACAAAGAAAATATTCTAAATATAAAGGAGCTCCATATGTCTGGCAGCACATTTCTCAGTGGAACCCTCATATGCCAGGAGGGAAGGGGATGACATATTTAGAGTGCTAAAGGGAAAAAAGCTTTCAACTTAGAATATTATATCCAGCAACATCATCCTTCAAATATGAAAAAAATTAAAACTTTCACAAACAAACACTAAAGAATGTCACAAACACCAGAACCATCTTATAAGAAATGCTAAAGGGAATTCTTCAATCTAAAAGAAAAGGATGCACAAACAGCAAAAAATCATCTGAAAGTATAAAAGTCACTGGTAAAAGTAAGTATACAGACAAATACAGAAAATGCTATCACTGTAATTGTGGTATGTAAATCACTTGTTAGGCCATTCTTACATTGCTATAAAGAAATACCTGAGACTGGCCAATTTATAAAGACAAGAGATTTGACAGGCTCACAATTCTGCCGGCATAGTACCAGCACCTGCTAGGCTTCTGGGGAGGCCTCAAGGGAGCCACTATTGATAGCAGAAGGCAAAGGGGGAACAGGCATCCCACATGTTGAGAACTGGAGCTTACATGTAACATGGCAAAAGTAGGGGCAAGAGAGAGTGGAGAGGGTGGTGCCACATGCTTAAACAACTGTGTCTTGAGAGAACTCACTCGCTATTGTGAGGACAGCACCAAGCCACAAGAAATCTGCCCCCATGAGTCAAATGCCTCCCACCAGGCCCCACCTCCAACACTGGGGATTACAATTCAACATGAGATTTGGTGGAGATATATATTCAAACTATATCATGACTCATATCTTTAGTATGAAGTCTGAAAGACACCTGTCAAATATAATAACTACAACAAATTGTTAAGAGATAGACAATATAGAAAGGTATATATTGAGACCAAAAAAAAAAATCCCCAAAATGGGGGGAGGGGAAATGAATTTAAGTGTAGATTTTTAGTTTTATTTTTGCTTGTTTTGTTTTTCTTTTCTTTTCTTTGTAATCAAAGTTGTCATCAGTTTAAAACCACTGGTTGTTTTCTGCAAGCCTCATGGCAACCACAAAACAAAAACTTATAATAGATACACACACATACACAAAAAGCAAGAAGTTAAAATGTACTACCAGAGAAGAACAGTTATACACAAGAGAAGACAGGAAGAAAGAGGGGAAAAAAAAAAGAAGACATTAACAAAACAACCAGAAAACAAATAACCAAATAGCAGTAGTTAGTCCTTTCTTATTAATAAATAATAACTCTGAATATAAATGGACTAAAGTCTCCAAGTTAAAGAGACACAGTGGTTGAATAGATTAAAAATAAGACACAACTATATGCTCCCTACAAGAAACTCAGTTCACATATAAAGACTCACATAGACTGAAAATGAAGAGATGGAAAAAGATATTCCATGCAAATGGCAACCAAAAACAAAAAAAAAAGAGCAGGAGTAGCTATACTTATATCAGCTAAAATAGATTTCAAGACAAAAATTATAAAAAGAGACAAAAAAGTCATCATATAATGATAAAGAGGTCAATTCATCAAGAGGATATAAGAATTCTAAGTATACACCCAACACTGGAGCATCCAGATACAAAGCAAATATTAGAGCTAAAAAGAGAGATAGACTAACACAGTAATAACAAGGAACTTCAACACTCCACTGTAAGCATTAAACAGATCATGCAGATAGAAAATCAACAAAGAAACATTAGATTTAATCTTCGCTATAGGCTAAATAGACCTAATAGACATTTACAGAACATTTCCACCAACATCTACAGAATCGGAAGTTATATACTTATAACTCTTAAAGGAGTTAGATTCCCAAAATGCACTTTAAAATTATTTTTATTTTTATTTTATATTTTGAGAAAGAGGCTTGCTCTGTAGCCCAGGATGAAGTGCAGTGATATGATCTCAGCTCACTGCAACCCTTTGCCTCCTGGGTTCATGGAATTCTACC